GCAGGCGCCCGTCGGGCCACGTAGCCCTGCGGCGCGGGGCCTGCTGGGACGGCGAGTCCCCCGGCGGACTACAAGTCCCGGCACGCCCCGCAGCACCTGCGCGGCGCTACCTGATTGGGCCGGGCTCCTACCTGGGCTGGGTGGCGCTCCACGTGGAAAAGTTCTTCCCGGGGAGCCAGCTTGTAATCCTTATTAGCTTTTTTAAAAAAAGAATCAATTTATTTAACTCCATGTGTTATTATTTTTTTATTTGACCAGAGAGAGAAAGGGAAAGCGAGAAAGCAAGCTGCCAGTTCCGGGTCTGGGACCGCGGTCGTCCATGTGGAAATGCAACACCTTTAGTCACCACGCCACCTGCCGGCCGGTGAAATGGAAGACGTTTATTGAGGTCCCATGGAGCAAATTGAGTGCAAAGGCAGGATTCGAACCTCGAGTCTCTGCACAGCATCAGCCACTTGTGGTTTTCTTTTCTTTTCTTTTTTAAGAATTATTTAAATTTGACCAAAGAGGGACAGTGTGAGAGAGACGGAGAGAGGAAAAGTGAGAAAGCAAGCAGCCGGGTCTGGGACTCAAACCTCAGTTTGCCATGTGGGAGTCCAACGCCCATAACCACCACGCCTCCGGCCGGTTCCCAGAAAACAAGCCACTAGATCTAGGACTCCAACCCATGGTTGGCCATATGGGAGTCCAGTGCCTTAACCACCATGCCACCTGCTGCCACCACCACCCCCTTTTTTTTTAATGGAACTTAACAAAAAGACTAATAACGCACGAATTTATGCTAAAAATAAAAACTGTGTGTGTGTACATTTTTTAAAAATGCAAATATTAGGCTAGTGAATAGTGTGGTGGTTAAGGTGCTGGATCCACTTGGCTGACTTTGTGGATCAAGTCCTGACCCAACTGGTTGAAAAACAACGCCAGACATGTGCGAGCCTGTCCAAAATCCTAAGGGGAGACTGGAGGAGAAGGCATTGCGGCATTGCAGTGTGGCCATCCCTCTGGGACTGATTTCTCACTTTCTCTCTCTGTGGAGCGCTTGCACCTTATGGCAAAAATATTTAAAAAAACCACAAACAAAACCCAGCAAATTGGGGTGGGCAGGTGGCATGGTGTTTAAGGTGTTGGACTCCCACATGGTTTGAGTCTCGGACCTGGTAGCTTACTCTCAACTTCTCTCCTCAGATTAAATAATAATAATAACAAAAAGTATTTTTAAAAACCTGGCAAGTTTCCCTTCAGCACTTTGTCCCCAAACCCCACCCACTCCTAGTGTGTATTCCCGCCTTCCGCAACTCCCCACCCTCCACCTCACACACACACACCCCTATGTGGGCATCCCTACTCCGAGGCCCAACCTGAACAATTCCTTTCCAAATTCCTTTATCTGGATTCCAGACATAGGTTCAGTTCCTGAGTGGTTAGCTAGTAAAGGGTTTGTGGGAGTCTTGCTACAGAGCCGCCCAATTTTGGAGAGTTCTACACTTTTTGGGAAATCACCGAAGTTTTAGGGCATTCCTTTGTGTCATTCCTGAATTGTATCAGAATTGCAGTGCACTGGGACCAGCAGTTGGCGTAATAGTTATGTCGTTGGACTCCCGTATAGTTTACTGCCGTTCAAGTCCTGGACCTGGTGGCTTAAACTCACGCCCGGAGTGTGTGCATGCATGCCCAAGATCCTGAGAGGAAAATGGAGGAGAAGGGATTGCAGCATGGCCATCCCCCCTGGGGGGTCTCGCTTTCTGTCTCTCAGCCTCTCTCTGTCTTTCTGGCAAGCGCATGCGCCTTATAGCAAAATAAAAATAAAATAAAATAAAATAAAAATAAAATAAAAATCAGGACCAGCAGTTGGTGTAATGGCTATGTCACTGGACTCCCATATAGTCCTGTGGTTCAAGTCCAGGAACCGGTGGCTTAAACTCATGCTGGGCGTGTGTGCGTGCATGCCCAAGATCCCGAGAGGAAAATGGAGGAAAAGGGATTACAGCATGGCCATTCCACCTGGGAGTGAGTGCTTGCTTTCTGGCTCTCTGTCTGTCTTTCTGGCGAACACACACACCTTATAGCAAGAACCTCTCTAAAAAAATAAAAAAGTTAAAAATAATTTAAAAAGAAATTTATTAAAAACGAATTACTTTATTTATTTATTTCAATTTGACTACAATGCAGACCCTTATTTCATAGAAATTTGATGTTGAGGGGGCCGGTAGGCGACATGGTGGTTAAGGGCACTGGACTCCCACATGGCCGACCACAGTTCAAGTCCCAGACCTGAAGATTTGCTTTCTCACTTTCCCTCTCTCTCTCTCTCACTCTGTCTCTCTCTGGTCAGATTAAAATGAATAAATAAAGTTAAATAAAATTAATAATTCTTTTTTTGGGGGGGAAGTTTTTGCTATAGGGCACGTGCACTCACCAGAAAGACAGAGAGAGACAATGAGACAGAAAGCGAGAAATCACCCCCAGGGGGAATGGCCATGCCACAATCCCTTCTCCTCCATTCTCCTCTCGGAATCTTGGGCACCACCCACGTATGTGCCCCCAGCGTGTGTTTAAGCCACCGGGTCTGGGACTCGAAACTTGGTCAGCTACATGGGAGTCCAGCAACATAGCCATTACACTAACTGCTGGTCCCAAAATTAATAGTTCTTTAAAAAAGGAAATTTGACATTAATATGACATTCAATTACACAGTCGTTGTCCTTTTTATTGAATTTTACAAAAAAAAAAATTGCTGAGGGGTTAGGAATTTACAACACCCCCCCACACACACACACACACACACAGATCCTTTGCTATAGTTGGTAACACTGGTCCTAAAGCAACCAGGATTCAGTACCACGGACAGCACCTCACTCTTCCTGCCCTAGCGTGGTCGCCTCTTCCTCTGCTCCTACTCTGGTTAGTGCTTCCCATGTACACCTGACTCCCACATCTAATGGATGTTCTCATTTATCCTCCTAAGCCTGTGACTTTTATTAACATCTGCACCTATCATTTTTGTTTAAAAGTTATTTCCAGCGAGGGAATAAAGGATGTTTCCCCAGGATTATGGATGGGCCATACTTCTAGAGGGGCAACAATTCTTGGTAGCTGAAGCATATTAGTAATCTTACAGCTCTGCATTGACATTTCCCATCCATTTCTGGTGGGTTCTTAGACGGTAGGAGACAGGCCTTATTCCTTTCTGTGTCCAACATGTATCGTAAGGCCTACCCAGAGTTTGTGTGAGCAAATGCACAGCACGTATCACCTAGATGATTTTCAGAAAGTTGTTACCAGACTTTCTGGCACTGCTTTCTCAGTTTCTTTTTTCTTTTCTTCTTTTTTTTTTTAAAGTTTTTGCTATAGGGCATGTGCACTCACCAGAGAGAGACAGAGAAAGAGAGTAAAAGTGAGAAATCACTCTCCAGGGAAGATGGCCATGCCACAATCCCTTCCTTCAGTCTCCTATTTTGATTTTGGGCATCCGTGCACACATGCCCAGTGCGATTTTTCAAGGTCTGGGACTCAAACCATTCAGCCAGCCCTGCAGAACCCAGCACCTTAACATCCACCCCCACCTACTGGCCCCGCTTTCCCAGTTTTAAATAATAATGGTATTATAGTTTATGCTTAAAGTGAAATCAGCCAGTACGCTTAAAAATGCTTAGAACATGGGACCAGCAGTTAGCGTAATGGCTATGTCGCTGGACTCCCATGTAGCCGACCGCAGTTTGCGTCCCGGACCCGGTGGCTTAAACTCACGCCAGGCGCATGTGCGTGCGTGCCCAAGATCCCGAGAGGAGAATGGAGGAGAAGGGATTGCGGCGTGGCCATCCCCCCTGGGGGGTGATTTCTCGCTTTCTGTCTCTCTGTCTCTCTCTGTCTGTCTGGCGAGCGCATGCACCCTATAGCAAAAAAACAAAACAAAACAAAACAAAAAAACTCTCTCTCTCAAAAAAAAAAGTGCTTAGAACAGGGCCTGAGACAAGACAAAGAGATCTGTTATTGCTGTGACCATCATCATCGCATGTTGCCGTGTACGGTAGTGAGCACTTATCCCTAGAAACCAGACATCACACTTGCGAAGAATCCGCTCTATAGACTCTGAAGAAGTAAAAGAGAAAGGAAGGAAGGAAGGAAGAAAGGAAGGAAGGAAGGAAGGAAGAATCTGAGAAAAAAAATTTTTTTGAGAGAGGTTTTTGCGATAGGGCTCATGCGCTCACCAGAAAGACAGAGAGAGACAGAAAGCAAGAAATCAGCCCCCAGGCTCCCAGATCTTGATAAGCTGAAAGGCTACCTGGAGGGAACATGACATGATGAGACCTTGTCCATGGTGCTCCCCCTTCCATCTTTCTTTCTTTTTTATTTTTTTAATTTATTTTTAAATTGTATTTATTTATATATCTGAGAGGTTTTTGCTATAGGGCGTGCATGCTCCCCAGAAAGACAGAGACAGAGAGACAGAAGGCGACAAATCATTCCCCCAGGGGCATGGCCACACCGCGATCCCTTCTCCTCTATTCTCCTCTTGGGACTTTGGGCACGCACGCACACACACTCGGCACGAGTTTAAGCCATTGGGTCCAGAACGTGAACCGTGGTCAACTACATGGGAGTCCAGTGACATAGCCATTATGCCCATCTGCTGTTCCCTATGGGCACACTTTGTATCAAAAAAAAGTAAAGAGGGTAAAATTTAAATATATTTTACCACAATTAAAATATAAACAAGATTATGGGGCCGGCAAGTGGCATGGTGGTAAAAGGCACTGGACTCCCACATGGCCAACCACAGTTCAAGTCTCAGACCTGGTGGCTTGCTTTCTCACTTCCTCTCTCTCTCTGTGTGTCTCTCTGATCAAACTGGAAAATAATAAGGATAATAATAATAAATAAAGTTAAATAAAATAATTCTTTAAAAATATAAACAAGATTATGATAATAATAAATAAAAATTTTAAAAATT